GACGGCTGATCGGGTTCCTTAACCGCCCAGACTTCTTTTCTCTTTTTTCTCTCTTCGGCTTTCTAAGCTGGCTTAGCAGTCCGACTCTCCTTATGTTTGTCAAAATTCTTTGAGTCCGATTGATGGCTGGATGAGCAGAGGTCGGTAGATTGAATAAAGCTCTCTACCTCTATCAACGCCTCTTGAAGGGTGAAAACCCTCTTACAAACAAGGTCAAAATTAAAGGTTGACCCGTCTTTCATACCCTTGAAGAAGTCTATATAGGCTACCTCGTCAGACAGTCCCTGGATTTGAATTCTCACCAAATTGAACTGCCTGACATAGGAGCGGAGCCCTTCTCTATCTCTCTGCCATATGGTGCTCAAGTCGAGACTTGTCTTTTTAGCAGGGATGTTCATCGAGAAGTTGGAGGCAAACAAGAAGGAAAGCTTCCTGAAACTGTCGATGCAATTGGCTGGCAGATTGCCAAACCATTGTTGGGAAATGCCCTTCAATGTAGCCGGGAAACACCGTCACCACATAGCGTCCCTGCATGTGCATGAGGTTGGAGTAAGCTATGAGGTGGTCCTCCGGGTTGGTGGTACCATCATAAGCACCTACCAATATATTCTTAACCTTGGTCGCCTCTGCCGCCTCAGTTATCTCCTTGGTGACCGCAGAAGATTGTTCACCAAGTTTGAGCAGTCTGAGCTGCCAATCCAAAGGCTGGACATTATATGCTAAGTGACCCCCAAAGAGGGTCGACTACATGAAGTGAGGGGAATACGGACCGTAGACCATAGGAGGTACATACGGTGCATTCCCAATCATTTGAAGGCCATAGTGGACAGTATTACCGCCTGTATGGCTCTCATGCAAAGACTGGGTATTCCCTGCTGATGTGTTCTTGAAGCTGTCTGGAAAGCTCGATGTAGAGGCTGACTCAGACAGCTGCTGGCCTCTTCTGCGGGTAATGATTTCCCGAGCGTCAGGAGTTGATTTTTTGTTTCCCTCCGACTGTTCAACCTGGCGAGGATTTCTTGTGTGTTTCTGGGGTAGGAGAATCTTTGACCAGTCTAGGGTCCCGGATGCCTTGTCCTTTGGATGCGGAGTCGGCTGCCTGTCCTTGACTAGCGTTTTCCTCCCTTGAGGATTCTTTCTTGCCGACTGACCCTTGCTTGGGCTAGCCTTACTTTTGGTGAGCAGATCCTTGATTTCACCCTTGAAACTAGTCATGAATTTCATGAGTTCGTCCCGGGTGACAGGGGCGGATCCGCCTATTGTATGGGTTTCCCCTTCCGGCTGAACAGGGGGTCGGCTTGTACCCGCCTGGCTCTCGCCCCGTTCCAGAGTGTCTCTGGGACTGATGCATTTAGTGATCAGGGATCCATCTTTGGAAATGTAAGTTTTAACTTGAGGATCATCATCCTCTTGATTAGTAAAGACCTCCGGCTGGTCAACCGGACGGTCAAGAGGTGGTACAGACTCTTAAACCATCCTTGAAGTACTCTCCCCACAGACGGCGCTAAATGTTTTGGGTGTTCCTCGGGAGAGTTACAGCTCAGAGACTGGTTGCGTGCGGCCTGTACCTGCAAAACAACGAAGACTCCGGGTGGTTGGAGCTCCGCCACCGACGGTCAAGTTAGTACTTGAAGAATAATGGGAGAAAGTGCGAAAAAAGAGGTGAGATCTTCTCGAATTCCGAGATCAGGTGATTCTCTGATGTAAGAGAATGTAGGGTATGATGTAATAATTATAGATGTCCCAAATTTGGGGGAAATCTCCCTATTTATAGGGTCTTTGGGAAGTGTGCCCCTGATTAGGTCATTCTGACCTAATTATTCTGGGCTACGCCGCGTTACGGCTTTCTCGAGATTTGGGTCTTTGAAGGCCGCCTTTTACTCCCAAGTTCTAGGAGAGACACGTGTCAGAAGGAGATTAGCCCAATTTGGGCCAACCAGAGTATAACACGTGTCAAGGCTTGATTGGGCCACATGCATGGGTAAAATTACCCAAAACAATAAGTACTTTTCTTCCGCTTCAAGTCTCTGTTAAGCCTTACGTAATCACGTGGCGGTAATACTCTCAAGTTACTCCCTAAAGTTGGATTATTATTGTTAATATTAGAGAGTAAATTGAGGGTGTTACAGCCTTGGGCCACTTCCAGACTTGCTAGAGGTAGACAAGGAGCTTTTGAACAAAGTGGTACAATATTTAGACATAATTGAAGTGCCAACAACAAGCAACCATCAACAAAAAGCCAACATGGAGGTGGATGCAGACTAAGCATTCATGGAACAACGAAGATGCTTTGGGGACTCATAGACTACCACACATAACCATTGTACCCTAAACTTTTTTTTGTTTTAGTTTAAGTGTTGGTTATGTGTATTTTGCTAAATACTTATTCCTCAGTTGTAGGCAGTCATGTATTAGGGCTCAAAAGAGTATTGTTTTAACTTTTGTAAGAAACACAAGTTATTTAATGAATGGAAATTATAAACCAGTCCATTAGAAAGGGTTTTTTGTCACTCAAAGCAATCTTGACACTGGGTACCTCAATAGCAACTTCAAAAAGAAGTCGCAAGAGCCTCCACACTAAACAATAAGCTAGCAGTTGAGTCCTTCATCATTTGGACCTAACTAACAATGATGCATTACATGTTTTGGGACTCAATGCATCTAAGAAGGGGCCTATTTGGGGACCCATATGTTACTGGCAAGATATACTCAAATAAGGCAACATCAACTACCACCACTAAAAACACCAGTCCACATCCACCCCACAAAATAATCAGGCCACCCCACACTAGTTCAGGCAACTATCTAAGTACCATGCCACATGTAAACACAACCAAATCAACCAACAAACCCAATAAACAGAGGAATAAACACCACACCATGAATCAAAGGCAACAAATGAACTCCATAATCAACACTATTCACATCAATCCAAAGCAAAAAAACACAGGGTAACACCATGCCACATGTATACACAACCAAATCAACCAACAACCAACAAACCCAAAAAATAGAGGAATAAACCTAGGGTAATGACATTCAATCCCCGAGAGCATCCTAACCAACACCATCACATCAATCCAAGGCAAAAAAACATCACCATAATGATATCAGAGCTAAAGAAATAGGAGTATAATAATATATACAACCAACTATCAACACCATAATCAGATCAAACAAGAGTATAACAAATGAACTTCATAATCGGATCAAACCCAAAAAAAGGACTCAAACAAGGGACATAGCCAACAATCATCACCCAGTAACATAGCCAATAAATAAACAACCGCAAAAAAAATAAAAAATAAATAAATAAATTAGGGTTTAAGAGATTACGCTGCCCAATTAGTTTGGGGGAATGTAGTACTGGTGGTAGTAGATCTGAAGATAACCTATGTACACGTCATCTAGCTTAAGACCATCAGGGAGCCTAGATCTGATGCGCTTAGCACCAGAACTAGGCCTAGCAACACTCCCAGCCATCATAGGGTAGGACTCATGTGGGCGGAGAACTTCCTCAGCAGTGAGCTTAATGGTTTGAGACTCCCGAGTCTCAGATCCAGTGTTTGAAACCCCACCAGCAGGTTCAGCAGGTACAACATCAATAGATCCATTGTCACCAGGTAGGGTGTTAAAAAATACTCCACCCGGTTGACCCGACCCGTCAACCCGCCAACCTGATAGATTTTAGCAGGTATTTTTTCAGTTTTTTTCAAAATTAGTGGGTCGGGTACTTGTCCTGGTAAAGCTGAGGTTTTGCGGGTCGGGTCATGGGCCGCCCTTTTGTGTTAGACGGGTACCCGCTGACCCGCTAAGATTTTTAATAAATATATATATACATATATATATATATATATACTGGATCATGCGAGAACCTATGTCTAAAATAGGAACTAGGAACTCATCTGGACCATTGATCGCGCTTAATCCAACGGTCCTTGCTTCACCCGCCTTTTTCATTTTAGTAATGGCATTTTGGTAATTTTCCCACTTTGAATGACCTCCTTTCTTTCTCTCTCTCTTCCTTTCATTTTCTATCTCTACGCGTCCTCATTTTCTCTCTCTAACTTCGAGCTCTCCGCCGCGATCTGAGTTCTTCAATTTACCGAATTTTTTGCCCAGATTTTTCGATTTTGATCTTCAATTACATCATATCCTTCGATTTTTTTTTCATTCATTGAGGTAATTTTCTAATTATATTTTTATTTTCTTTGTTTATTTTGATTTCATTGTTTATCTTGAGCTAAGTTTTTCGATTTAGGGTTTTTTATTGTAATTTTTCTAAATTTTTACTTTTTTTTGTTCTTTGATTAATTCTATACAATTTAGTGTTTGATTTTTGGTTTTTAATCCTATTTTATGGTTTTATACTTACGGATTTAATGTAGTTGTTTTCTGCATATAGTTGCTATATTGCATGTTGTTATTAATCTAGTAGTATAATTTGTTGTTGTTTTAAATTTACTTTTTGCATTCAGTCATTAAGTTTTCATGATTAGTTTTACTTAATTCTTATAACTTCATGCTTTTTATTTTCTTCAAGTTTTTTAATTTTTTTTTTATTTACTTTATGCTTTGAGTGATCTACTTTTTAGTATATCTTTAATAGTTTTTATTAGTATATTTTTTAAAAATATTGTTTCCTTTTAGTTATAGTTTATTTACTTTTAATTATTGTTTATTTACTTTTTACTTCTATTCATTTACTTTTCAGGAATATGTTGAAAGCATAGAGCATATTTTTAAAAAATAATGTTTACTTTTAGTTATAGTTTATTTACTTTTATATATTGTTTTTTTAATTTTTCTTCTATCCATTTAATTTTTCAGGAACATGTCTGAAAGTGTAGAGCATTGTTCTTCTTCTGTCACTACTGAAGATAGCAATGTAAGAATTTTCAAAACACCAACTCAACCTTTGATTCCTAAAATATATTATAATTCTAGAGGTGATAAAGAGTATACCATGTTGTTCTTCTGAAAACAAACCTTTTCTTGGTATGATATTTGATACTCTTCAAGATGGTATTGCCTTTTATTACAAATATGCTAATGAGTGTGGATTTAAAGTCCGTTCTAGTACTACTAAATCACAAAAGAATAAGGATGATCCTACTGGTAAAGGAGTTACTTTAATAAAATATTTATTATGTAGCAAAGAAGGGTATGTGACAAATAACAAGAAATCTGGTAAACAAGTTGAAGGTGCTTGTTTAAAGAGAAAGACTGTGAAGAGAGTTGGTTGTCCTGCTAAGATAAAATTTAGGTTTTGTAATGATGGGAAGTATATGGTGTATTGTTTATATGAATCTCATTCTCATCCTTTTTCTACACCTATTACTAGGCAGGTTACTAAACATGAAGTTGGTTTAAATTTTGCTCATAAGAAGTTCATTTTTGATAATTCAAAGTTAAATATAGGGGCTGTTATGTCTGATAGGATCATGAAAGAACTTTGTGGTGGGTTTCAAAATGTCAGGGGCAGTAAAAATGATTTCAAATATTTTTCTAGGGACTTGAAAGTTTATATCTCTAATGTTGATGGTGCCATGTTTGTTTAGAACCTTGAACAAAAAGTGAAAACCAGTAAAGGGGGTTATTATTTTGATTACTGTGTTGATGAAAGTAGGCATTTGACCCGTGTCTTTTGGGCTGATGCTATTGGTAGAAGAGATTATCAATTATTTTGGGACTCTTTATCTTTTGATTCCACCTATGATACAAATAAATATTCATTGGTTTTTTGTCCTTTTACTGGTGTTGATAATCACAAGAGATGTGTAAAATTTTGTGCTGCTCTATTATCTAAAGGAGACATAGATTCCTTTGTGTGGCTATTTCAAACTTTTTTGAAGTTTATGGGAAGAGAACCTTCTTGTATTATCACTGATCAAGATCCTGCAATGGGTATTGCCATAGAAAAGGTTTTTACCAAGACTAAACATAGGCTGTGTATGTGGCACATAATGAGGAAGGTACCTGAAAAGGTTGGAACTGATTTTTGTAAAGAAACTGATTTCCTGAAAAAGCTAAGTGCAGTAGTTTGGGATAGAGAGATTGATCCTCATGTATTTGTTGATGGCTGGAATAGTGTTATGGAGGAGTTTAACCTTGTTGATCATGAGTGGTTTGCATACATGTTCAAGATTAAACATCTTTGGATTCCTGCATATTTTAGGGACTTATTTATGGGTGGAATACTGTGTTCTACATCTAGGTCTGAAGGTGAAAATAGTTTCTTTTGTAACTTTACAAACCCTCATGTGACCTGTGTTGAATTCTTTGTCCGTTATGAAACTGCGCTTGATGCTCAAAGGCATGAACAGGATGAGTTGTAAAGGCTTAATAAACTTGAGCCTCAATTGGTTACTAATTTACACTTGGAAAAGCATGCTACTGATATTTATACTCGTGCCATATTTTATGATTTTCAAGAAGAATGCCAGGGATCCTGTTTTTCATGTGGAGTTGAAAGTTGTAGTTCTTTGTATGGAGACAGTGTGGAGTTTTCTGTTATTGTTGATCATGAGAAAAGGAAAAAATTTGATGTTAATTTTGATTTGGCAACATATGAGTCAAGTTGTACTTGTAGAATATTTGAGAGTCAAGGTGTTTTATGTAGACACATTTTGTTTGTTATGAAAGGCAAGTGTGTACGTCGAATTCCTGATGCTTACATCTTGAATCGTTGGAGAAAAGATGTTTTGAAGAAAGCTTATGTCATAGATGTTGCTCTAGATGATGCTTCTAAGTATGATAAGAAGAAGCAATTGGTCAGTGATGTATGGTCCAAGATTTTCAGTTGTGTCAGTTTAACTGACCAATCTGAGGATGATTTATCTGAGCTTATAAGACATTATCTTCATTTGAGGAGCAGATGATATCAAAGAATAATCCTGAAAATGCACCTAGTTCAATAGAGGTGAAAGATGCTGATATTCAGGTTTTGGTTGGGTCAAATAAAGTAGATGTAAATGTCTTGCCTCCAAATCAGTGTCTTAATAAAGGTTCTGCCAGAAGTTCAAAGAGGTTGAAGAGTGCAAAAAAAATAGCTACTGAAGAAAAATCTAAAAAAGGCAGAACTTGTAGAGCTTGTGGGCAATCTGGTGTTTCTCATGACAGTAGAAACTGTCCAAACAAGTAGTCTTTCAGGTATTTTTACTTTTAAGTGTGTTTCATTTACTTTATACATCTATTTATTTAATTTACCAGTAACTTCATTTACTTTGTATTTTATGCAGGTGTTATAATACTTGGAATTTTTTTTATTTGGTATTTTACCTCTTTACGTTTTCTATTTACTTTAAGTTTTAATTTATTTACTTTTTATTCTAATTTATTTACTTTTATTTGTGCAGTTATTATTATAATTGGAAATTAGAAGATGTTTTGGAAGATCAAGATCAAGATTTAATGAACAAACATTTTTTATTATTTTTATAAATGTAATATGTTTACATTTATTATAAGTATTGTCCCACGGAACTTAAGTTTAGTTTATTTACTTTTAGCTAATATTAATTAACTTTATGAAATATTTCATTTAATTTTATTATATTTTATATCATATGAATCATTTTATTTATATAATGTTCATATCCATTTTTTGTTCTAAAATACTTGTCTCATTTTCATGGAACCCAAGTCGACAAGAGTATTTCATACCGATTTTGAACATTAATTGACGTGTGAATGACTTGACCCAAATGTATCCCATATATTATTGACTTGGTTATTTCACTTTGATTATTACCCGTAAAATTATTGACTTGAACCAAATTGACTAAAATTCTAGAATGAGTTAATTTTTTAACCATTAATTATAGACTTTACTTCAATATAATTTGATCGGTTATTAAAATCATCTAAACTTTTACCAAATTAAATAAAATGTAAGGCCGGTTGTAATTTGATCAACATAGGTTATTGTATTAATTTAATTAACCACCTTCAACTATGGATGTAAGTGAGGCAAATGAAGTACGAGATTTTATCCATCCTTAGATTGGTGTATTATCACATTCAAGTTGGTTAAACATTTCAGGTCAAACGCTTCGGATCATATTTAGGTTGGTTAAAGGCTTCGAGTCAAACTCTTTGTGTCCAATTTGATTGTTCAACTTCGGGTTGGGTGATTTCGAGTGTGTGGTTAGGATTAGGTTAACTTAATTTTTGGGTCAAGTATGGGTTGGGTTGGGTTAATTTTGGGTTTTGGGTCATTTTTTCGGTCAATGATTTTGGGTCAAATTTGAGTTATTCGGTTTATGTCAATTATTTTGATTTGAATACTTTTTCTCATTTCTCCCTTTATTTAATTATAACCATTTTCTATTAAATGAACAGTATTTTTTTGTACTTTAAAATTTTTTAAATTTTTTTTCCTTTTACTTTAAACATAGTATTATTTACTTTAATAGTATTTTCATTTACTTATAATCGAATAACATGTTTTTGACTTTAATACTTTTTCCAATCTCCACTTCTACTTTTGATTCATTTTTTATTACTTTAAAAGTATTTATCTTTACTTTAAAATCGAGCACCATATTTCAGAAAGCGCTTTTTTTAAAAAAAAAATTCTTTTACTTTTAACATATTGTTATTTACTTTAGCATTATTTACTTTTACTTTTATTTGTATTATCATTTTTGAGAAAGAACAATCCTAGTAATTTAACTTAGATACATAATATGTATTCTTTTTTTAACACAAACTGCAAATATTATATTAAGTGGCTAAAGCCATAGTTTTTAATTACAAATAGCATCATATATTTTTTACATTTATAATTGATGCTAACCAAAATAAGGCCCAATATATATACCAGATTGTAATACAACAGTCCCTGAAATTCATTTCCCTAAACCTGCACTAACCCAAAAGCAATTTCATCCATCACAAAAAAAAAACCTAAAACTACAGAGACATAGTAGTAGCTACTGTAGCATTTCTTCATATTCTTTCTTTTTTTCCCAATCCTCAAAATTTGTTAGCAGTATCTGTTTCATTTGATTTTTTTCACTGAGAAGTAGGTCAAGCACTGTAACTACATGATGGTGATTCAATCTTGCAAATTCCTGTAAAAAATATAAATTATAAGTAAATTATACACTAAGTATAGATTAGTTCTAAAGTATAACGACTTCAAAAATAAGTATGTTAACTTACCTCTGTTATTGTTCCTAATCCTATACCATTTGCACCATCATAAACCTTCATATGCAGCAGTAGATAGTTTGCTGAGAAGTTTTCCTCTCTTTCTTTTTGGAATGGAAGTTCAATTATTCTCAGCTTGTAGGACAGTATATCATTTGCCTGTGGATGCTTCCTTTTTTAAAACAACTTCTGCACTTGTATCACCTGCAATGCAATGAATATTAGTATAATAAAACATATTGAAAAATGAATTTAAAGATAATTTTTTAATCTACTGATTCTTTACCGTTTCTAAGATAAAACTCTGTATAGGCTCATATTCTTCATTTGTCTCATACAAAGTGCTATCTAGATGACAATTGTTTCATCTCTGAAGTTTATCACAGCAAGAAAATAATGCTCTTTAAACCTCAAAGGCATAAATACCTGCATATAGATTTGTTTTACATATAGTTACTTTAAACCTGTTTTTAATTACTTTAAACATATATTGTTCTACTTTAATTCTGTCTTACACATTGAGCTGCATCCATGTCCAATGATTGTGAACTGTTCCAATCAATCCATAGCTTTTGTAGACTTGTTACTCCCTTTTTTCCATGAGCATTCAAACACATTGTTAAAGAATCCTTTCAAAAAAAATCCAATTATTATTTCTAATATTTATTTAATGTAGAATTTTAAATTATAAAAGTTAATTTGAAAATTTACCATGAAGTCAAATCCAAAAAAGTATCTGACCAAGTCATTTTCAGACCTGTCTCTTTCCATTTCAATGTTATTCAGGTGGTTTGACCAAGCAGTGATCACATTACTTGAAACTTTCCATTCATTGAGAAAAGCATTACAATCTTGCCTTACTATTTCAATTGAATCTATAAACCAGCAAACTACTTCGCTGTAATGTAGAATTAAAGTTAAAGTTAAACTTATGCCAAACAATTTTATATCTAATGCAATATGATTATTTGTTTTTCAGGAAGTATAAAACATACCTCTTGTTTGGAAAGTTTTCACCATCATTGATTGCTAAGTAATCAATCACTTGGTGACATTGCAAACTCATGTTATCCATTACATCCTTGTGTTTCTTCAAGAAATTAGAAACACAAATCATATCTTCCACTCCTTTCTCCTTCTCTAGTTTTCTAACTACCCTGAACCTTGAAATTTTTTTCTCAAGTTGTTTTCTTTTTGTGTTTATGTCTGCCAAAGCAAGAGCAACACATATTTCTGCACGATACACCTTTCTCCTATTTGCTAAATCAAGGTCAGAATCAAAAGTCTCTCCAGAGAAACACAACATATGGATCAAAAGAGTATATCTTGGTGTCTTCCACTTGAAGTTAACTTCATCAAAACCATATTCAAGAATTTCATCAGCTTTTTCATGATTAATTCTCTTCAGAAAGTTTGACATTTCCTCCACCTTTAACATTTGTAAAGCAGTATATAAGTAAAACAAATTTATAGTATAATTACTTTACTAAACATATGATTTACTTAATTAAAACATCTGTTACTTTATATTTTATATTATATATTTATAGGAAATACAATGTGTACTTTTAATAGCTATTCTTTAACTTTAATAACAATGTTATCTACTTTAATCAGAACATCTTTTACTTTATATATTATCTTATGTTTAAACTGTCATTATAATCTATACTTTTAATACATATTCATTTACTTTTATAGTATTCTTATTTACTTTAATAAATTACTTTTTATAAACCAAAATTTTTTACCACAATAGATCCAAGAATTCTGTATAAAGACTTGTGCCTGTCATCATACTCCCTGTAATCCAAGTATTGAATGGTCTGATTCATCAAGTTAACCACTATCAAACTATAGTGGTTACTCATACAAATTGGAATAAAAATCTGTCATTAAAATTACAGTTATTAGTCTACAAATTCAAAATCATAATTCCATACAATGTAGTTTAGTAAACATGAATAATAAAACATACCAACTGAGCTGTTATAATTTTCTCCTTTGCATCACGTAGGCACATCCAATCGTACCATGCCTGATTCAATTCTTGTGAGTGTACTGAAGCAGACTTCACCTCTGTTTTATCTGTTGGCTGGGAAGCATCTTGTGACCAGAGAGACAGCTCTAAAGGTCTCTGTGTATTAATGAGAACATAAAACACATTACTTTATGAGATCATACATATTTAATTATGATTAAACTTAACAGTATTTTTAAAACCTTACACTGTGATCAATGCCAAAGAAAAAGCATGAAGGATCTTCTATCAATCGAGAATCATTCATTAGAAATGACCAACATTGAACAATATTAGATTTTATCATTTGAGCAGGGGCTGTAGGAGCTAAGGATGTTGTGTCATCTCTTGTTATCATGAGAGGACCTTCAAATTTCACAATCTTTTCACTGTGCAAAATTAAACATTTATAGTAAATAAAATATTATTTAAAGTAAACTACATATAATTTAAAGTAGATAAAATATGTTTAGAATTAAATAATTTATTACTTACTGCTTGAATGGGCTGTACTTCACAATGCAGTAATCAGCCACTACTTGATAAAGATCTGGCATTTCATTCATTCTTGATTTGTTTCCTTTCATTGTCTTGGAAACAAAATCAATTACAACATCTTTCTCTCCACAATCTAAACTGATTTTAACTTTTGAAACTATCTCCTTATGAATGTCCTTATACTCAATTGTAGTTGTTTCTTCTTGAAGTTGTTTTTCAGCAAAAACTGTAATAAAAAAGCACATATAGTTACAAAATTATGATACACTATTGACTATGTATTGATTAAATATTTACTAAAGTTAACAACTTACCTTCAATTGGTTTTTGTGTTGCTTCCTTTGTAAGTGTTGCTTGATTTAGTACACTCTCAGTGACTGAGTGTACTACATTAGTAATATCAGGATCAACACCTTGATTATCAGTAACAACATCCTTATTATCAGCATCATCTTCTTGATTATCTGAAT